GTTGGTTCTGGCGGCGCACTCTTGCTCGTTCTCGGAGTCCTCGGAGTGTGTGGATAAGAGGCTTCCAGGACCGGCTCAGGTGAAGTCCATCTTCCCTGTTAAAGTTATCAGGATGAAGTTCGATCTCGATGGCTTCCCTGATTAACCGATCCATGTAGCCGGTTTTTGAGGAGAGGATAGAAGTGTTCATCTACCATACTACATGGCGCAACAACCCAGAAGACAGAAATCTTCATACTCACTGCTGTGAAAACCTCAAATTATAGTGTAGTTCTGTTTACAACACCTTGAAAACTGTCAGAAGTCCCACAATTTAGCTGTTAGCCACAAGAACAATACTTTGTTAGGATTGCTACATTTAAAGCTTCTGGACAGGCTCTGTTTCATCCAGTACTGATGTGGCAGTTGTCCTGCTGTGACTCAAACATCAGAGACCTTTTCAATAAAAACAGGATATGCCATGGGAATGTGAAGTTGAGTAGAAGAGGCTAATGTCAGTGCATCACTAACTTGTACTGCTACATAAATTTAATATACTCCATATTTGTTCACTTCATATTTTGTCTTAATATGTTTCTCATTATTCTTTTTACCTGTCAAAACATTGGACGAGTTACTAACTGACAAAACTTAATTCATGCATCCTAGAGACCTCAAGACATCAGAATAAGAAATTTAAATAAGGGACAATGTTGTGCACTTGGGGCAGGTGATTATTCTAGCACAATATGAAAACAATATTAGAACTTATATACAGAATATCATTTTATCAACATTTGATGAATTCTTGCTATTAATTTTCTATTTCAGGTACAATAGACATTGACAGATTGGTTCAGGAAAAAGATCTTGTGTCATTGCAAGAGAACCTCATCAGTATTATAAATTACAATCTTGACAGTGAATATGATGTGAAGATACTGGATCCCAATTTTGTGAAGTTGTTTAAATTGGCACAACTCTCTGTTGATTACCTGATGTATTCTGAACAACATGCGTATAATTGCATGGAGCTGGAGCATCAACATTTGAAGAAACATCTGAAGGTTTTACAAATTTCTGTTCTAATTCTGTCTGTTAATGTTTTAATAAAAAGTATCTGCCCCAGTTACATTCAGGTTGTCACCTCCATTACCATTTTCTTTTCAACCTTCCCTCAATCTCTTTACATCTCATCACTGTAAAGTTTCTCCTATAGTCAGGCGTGATCGAAAGGTATCGAGACTGAATCTGTGAAATCTATACTGTACACAAAAACAAAAGATTAATCCTCATTTAACACAGGTTTGTTCAGCAAAACACTGCGATTTTATTTATAAGTTTTACAGATTAGGGACATTCAATAATTAAACAATTCTAATTAGTATATCATTTATTTAGTTACCATTGAAAATTGTTTAAAACAGTTCCAGTATTGAGGGATATCTTTTGTTTGTATCTATGACATATCACATCCAAGATATAATGTGAAAGATATATTTAATCTTTGAAATTGTTTTTGTTCAGTTTGGATGTTCTATGATTCTTGTCCAGTTTTATATAAATGTTCTGCCCAATAAATTCCATAATGAGAAAGTTTGCAGCAGGAGTTATGCACGTGGACCACATATATTTATGTAGTGTTGTGCCATTCTGTATAATGGAAAAATATTTACAAACATGTGTCTTAAGCAAGTATTTAATAAAAATAAAACAAAGTTGTTAAGGAAAATCTGTGAAATTGTGATAGTAAGTAGGCATTTCTAATAAACTGCTATGAAGTGTCAATAAACTGTTGTCATTTATGATCTTGAGGCATGCACGTTGCCCCACATCTTGAAAGGCTGAGAACCCCTGGTTTACTGTGTAGATGAAGTATGCACTACCTTTCATCATTGCCTGCTTTGATCCTTGCATTAAGTGTACCTGTACTTATACATGACAAATATGATTTAAATTGACAGGAGGTGGAGAAGTTAAAAAGAGAGTATAAGAATAAAGATGATGAAATGAAGAATCTAAAGAAAAGGTTAAAGGAAATGAATGCAACTGAAATTCAACGACACAAACAGCACTTTCGAACTAGCAGCGGGGAGGAAGTCCCAAATTTCTTCAAGGTGAGGCACCATTGTTGTAGTTTCTTTTTGTGGCTGTCTCAGATTTCAAAATATCTGATACACTCTTCATGGGATCATTGCAAAACTTTTAGGACAACATTTTAAATATGTATTAAGGAAGATATTTTGTCAATGACTTTGTTCAGTGGGCCATTATGCACAAGTTTCACTTATCAGGAATAGTAGTTCCCAAAATGTGGTTGGCAAACTTTACGGGGGTTGGTTGGGAGAGAAGTGACATCATTTTGTGTGCCAATATTACAGTAAGACAGATTCATAAAAATTATATATGGAGGCATTCTATTTTAATTTCCATTGCCTATTCCAAATGCATAACTAAGGTGTACAGTATCTGCTCCTTTTCAGAGGGAAAGTAATTTATGAAACACCTTTGTGAATGTTTAGTATCATGAATGAGTGAATAACTAACAGGAGAGATAAGGACATGCAAAGGAGAAAACAGAAACATATTCTGTTTGTTCAAGGAGGGGTTTGTGGAGTTTGGAATTACAGGGCTAGAAGAACAAAATGCATATGAAGATTGGGAGGGGTTAGGAAGGAAACAACACAAGGTAAAGATTTCCGTCTTCTGGGTTGTTGCGCTGTGTAGTCTGGTCGATGTTAACCAACGTTTCAGAGGTCATACTGCCTCCGTCATCAGGGCGATGAATATAGAGTATGATTATTTGGTATCAGTACATATTTTCCTGGCATTTATGCCATTTACTCTATCATAATAATCATTGCCAGTGAAGATGACTGTCTTCTGGGATGTTGTGCTGTGAAATCTGGCAGAAGTTTACTGACATTTTAGATGTGTTTGCTGCTTCCATCATCAGGTTGATGATTGCCCTGATGATGGAGGCAGCAATGACCTCTGAAATTCTACAATTCTACCAGACGACATAGCACAACATCTCAGAAGACAGCCATCTTCATATTTCCTTCCGTGAAAACCCGAAACCTCACCGCCTCTGGTTTAATTACTAATTTTAAATAGATTTAACCAGTTATTTTTATTAAATAATTTATCTGCCAAATGCTGTGGCTTCAAGAATTGATCACAATTTCTTCATTAGTGCCCCCACTGTGGAAAGACATTTCTAACTGCTGGATACTTGGAGGCACACCACATGAGGCGTCACCCTGACACAACATTCATGCAGTTGCCTGCTCAACTGTGCAGTGAGACTGAGCGCTTGCAGTCAGAGATAAAGGAGCTGAAGGAAAGACTCAATAACACAGAGAGGCTACTGCAAAAGGAGTCAAGCCAAAATATGGAGGTTAACACAGATTTCACACTTTGTAATACTGTGCAGTATAATTGTATGTATGAAATCAAACTCAAGTACAGTTCCAGTAGCAAACTGTTAACAAATTTCTAATTTCATTGTTGCAATTAAAACAAAGTGATATACTTTCCAACAGCAGATATATATGAATGGTAGAACTGTCATTAAATAACACCTAAAATTAAAGACAATGTAGTATATAAATCACAAATCCTCATTTATTTTTTCAGCATGTAAGTGCACTTTTACTTTCATTAGCAATACTGGTCAAGTCTGGATGATTACTGGATCTAATGATTATGGTTAGCATACAAACACAAAAGTGTACAGTACAAGACAAATCTCAAATGAGAATGTAAAGAATACCTATACCTACCTGCACATGAAAAGGTTTATGACAGCTAATCCTTCACACTAACTTAGACATTATTATGCAAATTCAGATGTGTAATACCCTTGGTGATCACAGGGAAAGAAAGAGGCTCAGAGTAGGGGTGATGATTGGTCTGAAGAAGAGAAGAGACAAATGAAGGAATGGCAGCAGGAACAGCAGCGCAAGTACCTGGACGAGATTGCTGACCTGAAGACTGTATTTTATAATGAGATTAAGGTACAGCTTCACATGTTTATTAGTTTGAAGTTTCCAATAAGGACTGTTAGAAGCCGTAGCCAAGCATGTTTAGAAATTGTAGATGTTTGTACAAGTCTCATGTCCCCATCTTTATTGAATCACATTTTACAGTATCATCATAACAGGAGTGTTTTGATGGACTGTGGTTCAACTTACTTGTGTAAATAATTTTTCTCGTGTGTAAAGAACATAAATCTGGATTTTAAATAACTGCTTTACAAAGAAAATGTTTCTGTGTTACTTCCCCAAACAAAAACATATACACAGTAATTCCACAGGACAGTCTAAGTTACAGATACCAGTTTGTACCGGAGAGTTTCCATTAATTTGAAAATGTTTGCTCTGTAACAGCTATCCAGCATAATTTTTATAATATTTTGGTTTTCAATTTTTTTAATTTAAAAAAGAAATGATGCCAAAAATTCTGAGCTTGGCACTAAAAAATTAGGGAATGAGAAAGATGGAATAGATTATACACTAGTCACTTTGAATGCAGTGGTTATTAAGCATGAATGGAGAATAAATACATTTCACCTGTGTGTTGGTATTTAGTATTTAATTTTAGGACATTTATTCTCATTTCTTGTCATCCATAAAGACCACCCATCACCATTATCCACCCTTCTCTTTTGTAGTCTCTAAAATTAACCCAGGTTTATTCCTACCGAGATTTTTTGAAGAGGTTTCATTTTTATAAATTCTCATGTAAGTCACACATCCAAGCAAAAGTGTTTAATAACTGTGTGAAAACTATGCATTGAAATACAATACACATTAAAACAATATATTATTGTGTAAAATATTCTATATCTGACACTTTCCGATTTATATCTTGGGCACAGACTCCTCAGTATTTACAAAACAACCCGCAAAAACTTGCACAGGCTGTAGTGTAGTAAGAGGATTGATGTAAAACAAAATTAATCTGTGTACAAAACATTAAATCTGGGTTTCTTATGAAATCTCTTGTACCATCAAAAACAATTTGAATATGAAATGAATTCAACACCACCACACAATAATTTTTATTCTGTTGTGTTTCATGAGCACTACTGGAACAGTGTCTCATAGAGATGTGCTATCCTGGTCCCTTTGCTCATAAACACAGACTTCAAACTCTACACCAGTTGCATCATCTTTTGATGATTGCCCTGATGATGGAGGCAGCAATGACCTCTGAAATTCTACAATTCTACCAGACGACATAGCACAACATCTCAGAAGACAGCCATCTTCATATTTCCTTCCGTGAAAACCCGAAACCTCACCGCCTCTGGTTTAATTACTAATTTTAAATAGATTTAACCAGTTATTTTTATTAAATAATTTATCTGCCAAATGCTGTGGCTTCAAGAATTGATCACAATTTCTTCATTAGTGCCCCCACTGTGGAAAGACATTTCTAACTGCTGGATACTTGGAGGCACACCACATGAGGCGTCACCCTGACACAACATTCATGCAGTTGCCTGCTCAACTGTGCAGTGAGACTGAGCGCTTGCAGTCAGAGATAAAGGAGCTGAAGGAAAGACTCAATAACACAGAGAGGCTACTGCAAAAGGAGTCAAGCCAAAATATGGAGGTTAACACAGATTTCACACTTTGTAATACTGTGCAGTATAATTGTATGTATGAAATCAAACTCAAGTACAGTTCCAGTAGCAAACTGTTAACAAATTTCTAATTTCATTGTTGCAATTAAAACAAAGTGATATACTTTCCAACAGCAGATATATATGAATGGTAGAACTGTCATTAAATAACACCTAAAATTAAAGACAATGTAGTATATAAATCACAAATCCTCATTTATTTTTTCAGCATGTAAGTGCACTTTTACTTTCATTAGCAATACTGGTCAAGTCTGGATGATTACTGGATCTAATGATTATGGTTAGCATACAAACACAAAAGTGTACAGTACAAGACAAATCTCAAATGAGAATGTAAAGAATACCTATACCTACCTGCACATGAAAAGGTTTATGACAGCTAATCCTTCACACTAACTTAGACATTATTATGCAAATTCAGATGTGTAATACCCTTGGTGATCACAGGGAAAGAAAGAGGCTCAGAGTAGGGGTGATGATTGGTCTGAAGAAGAGAAGAGACAAATGAAGGAATGGCAGCAGGAACAGCAGCGCAAGTACCTGGACGAGATTGCTGACCTGAAGACTGTATTTTATAATGAGATTAAGGTACAGCTTCACATGTTTATTAGTTTGAAGTTTCCAATAAGGACTGTTAGAAGCCGTAGCCAAGCATGTTTAGAAATTGTAGATGTTTGTACAAGTCTCATGTCCCCATCTTTATTGAATCACATTTTACAGTATCATCATAACAGGAGTGTTTTGATGGACTGTGGTTCAACTTACTTGTGTAAATAATTTTTCTCGTGTGTAAAGAACATAAATCTGGATTTTAAATAACTGCTTTACAAAGAAAATGTTTCTGTGTTACTTCCCCAAACAAAAACATATACACAGTAATTCCACAGGACAGTCTAAGTTACAGATACCAGTTTGTACCGGAGAGTTTCCATTAATTTGAAAATGTTTGCTCTGTAACAGCTATCCAGCATAATTTTTATAATATTTTGGTTTTCAATTTTTTTAATTTAAAAAAGAAATGATGCCAAAAATTCTGAGCTTGGCACTAAAAAATTAGGGAATGAGAAAGATGGAATAGATTATACACTAGTCACTTTGAATGCAGTGGTTATTAAGCATGAATGGAGAATAAATACATTTCACCTGTGTGTTGGTATTTAGTATTTAATTTTAGGACATTTATTCTCATTTCTTGTCATCCATAAAGACCACCCATCACCATTATCCACCCTTCTCTTTTGTAGTCTCTAAAATTAACCCAGGTTTATTCCTACCGAGATTTTTTGAAGAGGTTTCATTTTTATAAATTCTCATGTAAGTCACACATCCAAGCAAAAGTGTTTAATAACTGTGTGAAAACTATGCATTGAAATACAATACACATTAAAACAATATATTATTGTGTAAAATATTCTATATCTGACACTTTCCGATTTATATCTTGGGCACAGACTCCTCAGTATTTACAAAACAACCCGCAAAAACTTGCACAGGCTGTAGTGTAGTAAGAGGATTGATGTAAAACAAAATTAATCTGTGTACAAAACATTAAATCTGGGTTTCTTATGAAATCTCTTGTACCATCAAAAACAATTTGAATATGAAATGAATTCAACACCACCACACAATAATTTTTATTCTGTTGTGTTTCATGAGCACTACTGGAACAGTGTCTCATAGAGATGTGCTATCCTGGTCCCTTTGCTCATAAACACAGACTTCAAACTCTACACCAGTTGCATCATCTTTCTGGACACCAGTTAGAACCCTGCTGTCACCAATTCTGTCATCACTGACTCTAACGAGTAAGTTTTCATCAAACTCTTCTGGAAAAAACACATCACAAGGATAAACAGCTCGAATCCTAGACAGGTACAGCCGATGGAAGAACCGTGATTTGAGAGCTGTCTGATAGACCTCTGCCCCACCCAGCACCCACACTGTGTCTATCAAACCTTCATATTCTGGATCTGTTGATAACATCTTCACTACCTGATCCAGTGAGGCACATACAATTGTGTTGGGATATGCCAATGGTTCCGGTGGGTTGAACCTACTTAAAACAATATTTAAGGCACCAGGATGAGGTTTGGAGGTCAATGCATCCATGGTTTCCCAAGTACGGTGACCAATTATGACGGCATTCTGACGGTTGCTGCCAGTAACACGAGGTTTGGTAGTCATCTCAAGGAAGTAGTGGAATTCTGAGGGAATCTGCCATGGCAGTTTCTGATTCCAGCCAATGCCCATATTTTGGTCAGCTGCAGAGATGAGATTTAGCTTAACAGGGGTCCAGGTTTCCATTGCTTCACGTTGCTTGATCTGAAAGTACAAAAGACAGTATGGAAATCTCAAGTAAATTATATAATTTTCAGTGAGAAAAATCTTTTCAGGAATGGCACAGTTCAATCAGTGTTCCAGTTCTCTGCTACAGTTTCATGGCACAGCAGCAGTTTGACAATATTAAACATTACTGAAATCCATCATACAGCAAAATCTTGGTGCTTACAAAAATACCAAGATGATAACCATATTTCAGAGCCCAAGTTGGACCCAAAAATATGTAATGTTCTTGCCAGTGTATTAATTTAAATAAGAAAGTGGAAAGGCCATAATGACCCAACAGGGATGAAGTGGGGAATATCATACAAGGAACTTGTGATTTATACAGTTCATTGTTAGGATAATCACACTGAGGAGTTTTAAGATGGGTTGGACATATAGCTCAGATACAGGAGACAGTAAACACATTCAGAATTCTGGAAACATGTCTTTCATACAACTAAGAAAATTATTAAAGGATACTATTAAAGAACAATACATTCATGAAATAGACTGTGAAGATATAAAATGAGTACACATGATTTAGAAATATGTCCAGTGGCAGGGTGTTGTGTCAGCAGTGTTGCAGAATTTGGGTTCTGCCACCACTCGGTTTGTTGGTTATTCTATCTTGCAGGGAACTACATTCCTAGGTCAATACATGGTTAGTATTGTGATACATGGCAGAGATAAGTTATGCTGATACTTTTCCTTTTTGTAACTTTATTTCACTTTCATTCAATATTAACATCATAGACTACAATCCTCTTAATGCATTTATTTGTTTAATTAATGCCTTTGATTGCTCAGAATAGTGTCAGATGATAGGTGGTTAGTGAATAATGAACTGGAAGAGATATGGAAGGAAGCAAACATAACTAGCCTGGCATCTGTCTGGACAGAATGAATAAAATGATGACAAATATCAGTTAGGATAGCAAAGGCCTCATGAATATGAAACAGGAGTTGTAACCACTCAGCTGTGACATTCTGTATTTTAATAATAATTTATAACACTATCTAATCATTTACTAATAATGAAAATTTGATTGTTCATTTCTGATGTTATTTCTTTCTTTAATCAAAAAACTATGTATGAGTTTTCATTTTATTGCCTTTATCCTGATTCAAAAATCTTAGTTGTTTGATGACTTCATCTCAAAAAGTGGTCACAGTATTTAAGAAATGGAACTAAGCCCATATGTCTGAGCAGCTGATATTTCACTTGTTCAAGAGATTAACTGTTGTTATGGAAGCTAAAGATTCCTCACAAACTTACTGCAGGATCCCACTTCAGTCATTTTAATCTGAAATCTTTATGCATGCTTTCCTAACTGATCACTTCCCTTGTTTTTCTAAGAATTTTGTTTACAATTAAAGAAATGTATGGCATAAAATGTTCCTGTCATTTTGGTAGACTACCTTTGTGTGACATTATTCTATTAAAACATACTAAACAGGTTCTTAAAACTTATAGTATTCAAGTGAAGTGATAGTTCTGACTGGCTGACATGGTCAAAAATATCACATGGCCTCAGCTTTTATCACAAGTCTACTGTAATAAAATCTGTTCAGTCTCAACAGCAATATTATGTGTTAGCAGACTAGGGGATAGATACAGCAAAACTAATTGCAACTATTGGATAACATATGTGGACATTCTGTTGCAAATGACTCCCAAGTATTAATTTCATTTAAAATGTCCTCCATGAATAATATATTTTCACTGTTCCATTAGTTTTTATTTTATCTGTTTAAGATCTAGGTATATGTACTTACATCAAAAGTGTTGCAAGGTGTTCTGCTGAAACACTGGAATCTGATACATAATCCCCAATTAATTAACTAGAAACATACAATACTACATTGTGTTAAAGTCAGAGAGCCATTTTCATAATTCCCCAGCTCTATTTCCTACACCAGTATCACAGACAATAGTGAATGTGCATTAAACAACATTTATTACAGCCTACTGATAAAATTTATGCTGACAAAACAAAGCTATAGCATTTCCTGCAAACATCAGTTAACAACTGAAGTGTGAAAGTGAAAGTCATGCCAATAACACTTGTTGAGGTCATTCTAAAAACATGGTTTCTGATCTACTTCTGGGAATAATAAGAATAATTTTATGAGTACGTTAATTCTTTTAATTCACAGATGAAAACTACACTACCTGTAAATTACTGGAATTAATGTATCTTCATGATAGGTGCAGAAAAAATAGGCATTTTTAAATAATTTAATAAATGTGTCAAAAAGATTAAAATAACAAATGTATGATTGTGGAGAACAGAGACTGAAAGTGTTTTATTCCATTCCATTTCCACATACACAATTATTTTTTACAATATATTACTTCATGGCAACATATTTTGACATTTCTGTGTAATCCTCAGGCTGTATTTAATTTACTGCCCTTCTCAATGGCACACTGAATAGGTTAATACATAAATATATGGCCTGAAGATGACACAGTGGATGTCAAAATATGTCACTGTGAAATGACACATAGTTGTGTAAAAGGAAAAAATAATGACCATTTGTAATATGTATTTCTTACCTTATACTGTTAATCAATAACACATGGAGATGGGTGTGACATGTAGCACAATAGAGAAAACATAAAAATGCATAAAAATTTGGAAGGAATATATCGAGGGAAGACACAATTTTGAAGACAGAGTGGAGGATATTTAAATGCATATTAGAGAAATATACAGTGGCAAATGCTCCAGTCTGTCTAGCAGTGCACCACCAGCCTACTAAATTGGAGGTGCATATGTATGTATGTATATATATGTATGCATGCATGTACATATATACACATGTGCATACACGTTTTGATACACAATAGTGGCTCATCATCATCGAAATACCTTAGTATTCTGATGTGACTGCTGGAGAATTCAATATCAGATTTATAGACCAGGATTAACCACTGTAAACAGCTATGAACAGGATTACTCTGATTCTGGGCATTGTGTAATGGAATGGTTTTAAGCATATTGATAAGCTTGCACATTTCATAACAAGAGGGACTTTCTTCATCACCTAGATAACTATCAACTGATGACATGCTTGGTAACACTTATGTTTATACGTGCGTGCAAACAAAATTAAACACATTTAGTCCCTTTACGTTAGTAAGACAAAAGTCGAATTTATAAAACAGAATTGACAAAAGAAACGGAATTATTATTCAGTGAAAAACAGGCCAAATAAATGTATATTTATGCATCAATGATAGTACTGACAGTCCTCTGTAGAACAGCCCAAACATTAGAATTGTGTATCACTGGCATTTGTTTATGAATTATGTCACATACATCACAGAATGATTTTTCACGTGTCAGCCATATGGCCAAGTATGTCTGTTGATAAATTTCATGAAGTTTTGCTATCATAATGCTACTTTGTCTGTCTGTGTGTGTATCACAACGTCCACACGTGCTACATGCCCTCCCTACCACAACGTCTTCAACTTGGTACCCTTAACAATATTATACATTGCACAATACATGTCAATTCCCATTCTGTCTCCATTAGGTCCAAGTTTTCTTTGAGGCTTCTTCTGTTTTCCCATGTTTCATTCATGTCCTGGCACTAATTGTTACACACACACAAAAAGCGCAACCTAGCATTTTCTTTAACACTTTCAGCTTCTTATGTGAGACTGAGCAACTTTTTTACAGAATAGTCTAGAAATTCTTGTGTAAGCTATAGCAAGCTACAGCACTAGGCTTGACAGTGAGATGGTTAAAAACAGGGTCTCAGATATTTTGTACCTGAAATAATGTATCATTTGGAAGCAAACTTTGTTGGCTTAATTCAGTAGTCAAATTTATCACTCATTAACTTACTGTACACATTTATTTAATTCATATCCCATGTTAATTTGGATTCCTTGCTTTCTGCATATCCATAACAGAGACTAAAGGAACATTCACAACAATCAAGAGAGCCAACACCACCATCAAATGCAGAGCTTTTAGAGCAAATAACGAAGCAAGACAAAGAGCTTGTCTCTCTGCGAGAAAAGCTCAGTGGACAGGTAGAGGTATTTAACAAAACTATAACTGCTAAGAATCTCAGTATCAGGGTCATCTTAAAATTATATACTATATAAGGAACTATTAATGTGGTTAGGTTTATAATAAAAGTAAGAAAATGTGATCGATCCATGGTATTATAATGGCTGCCATTCACCATTTCCTGCTTACAGTAATCACGCTGTCAGCAGAAACAAATAACTGGAATTCCACCTCATGTACATAGCGATGATTGCAAGTCTTAAATTCCACAATAAAGGTTACATGGACAAAATTAGTTCATAAAATATCCGCTACTTAAATATTATTCTCTTAAGAAAGAACTGTTTTTGCAATTAATACAGTGCATTCAGTGATAAAACAGATGCATCTGTCACTTACTGGCACCTGACAGGAATGGCTATAACACAGGCAAGTTGATTTTATTTTTCATGAAGCAATACTTTACTTGTATTGGGAAAATCTCAGTGTTTGGAAGTGTATCATGCAGTTCCAGCCAGGAAGTGACGGCTCTGTTCAAATTTGTCAGCGAATGCACTGTATGATAAGGTTTACCAATTCAAAAGGAAGCAAAGGATTAACAGGATGAATGAAACATAACAGACCCAAATGTTCTGGAATAAGGTATGGAATATGTTACAGTCAACACCAGACCTGGAGAACATGCAGAGTCGTATGGAGGCGCAAGAGAGGTTCTGGAAGTCAAAACTTAAGCAAATGGAGACTGAGCATAAGAGAGAATTGGAAGAATTCAGGACACAGCTGGATCAGGCCACAGGTAAGAAATGAACTCTTGCAACAAACTGGATTAAGATGGTGGCAACATAGTCAAGACATGCAACAAGTATGTGTGTGTGTGTGTGTGTGTGATGGTCTTGCAAGTATATGAAGAGGTTTAGTTATCTGTTAGACTAGCAATTCCCAAAGTAAGAATAGCAGCCCCCTACCCAGGAGGCCACAATGCTTTATAATTGGGGCTAATGGAATATTATAATGCAAATAAATCATTATAAAAATCCACATTAAATTGCATACAATTTAATAGAAAAAGTACTAAACAGACAGCATAAAGGTTCATTATTTTTTAAACTACCATACCACATTGCAAGCCATTTTAATGGGATGAGGAGCCTCAAATCACTTTGAGGGAACTTCAGATTTTGTGAGTTTGACAACCATTCTGTCGAACTAGTAAGTTTGAACACTATAGTAGTGCAGAGGTACTATATTTTTCAAGTTCTGATGACAATTTAACCTTACCATCATTAATTCAAAACACACTTAAGTTTCAAGAGTCTGTGACTAAGTTTTGAGCAAGATAACACAAATTCAAGGTAAACTCTTGTCATAAGTAAGAATTCTTATCTAATATCCTCAACAATGAGCTAAATGCAGTTGATTGATGGTTAGAGGCTGGTTTCTGGTTTTCTGCTGCATGCGACAAATATGTACATTAATAAATGTCACTGTTTAGGTAAACATTTGTCCGATACACTTCCTAATCAGAATGGTCTAAAACACGGAGTTTCTCCATCACCGCTGCTTTTCAGTTTTGCCTTAGAATATGCCATCAGAAAAGTCCAAGAAAATCATGGCAGTTTGGGATTGAATAGGACACATCAGCTTTGGTCTATGCTGATGATATTAATCTGTTGGGGTACTATAAGAGCGAACACACAAACACTCTTAAGGGCTAATAGGGATGTTTAACTATAAATAAATGCAGAAAAGACAAAGTCTTGTCATCAGAATTCAGGACAGAACCAGAATATAAGGATACCTAATGAATCATTCGAAAGTGTGACAAAATTCAAGTACTTGGGGACAACACTAACAAGTCAAAATGACATTCATGATGAAATCAAGAGGATATTAATTAATTAAAATTAAATTCAGGGAATTTTTATCATTCAGTTCAAAATTGTTTGTCCTCCCGTTTCATATAAAAAAATCTAAATTTTAAAATATATAAAACTGTAATTTTGCCAGTTGTACTGGATGGGTGTGAAACTTGGTCTCCCACTTTGAAGGAGGACCATGGATTGAGGGTCTCTGAGTAGTGTTGAGGATGGTGTTTGGACCTCAAAGGGAAGAAGATGGATGAAGGAGAAAATTGTATAATGATGAGCTTCACGGCCTGTACTCCTCACCTGATTAAATGAAGAAGGATGAGGTGGGAGGTATATGTGGTATGCATGGGGAGGGAGGGGCATTACAAGGTATTGGTTGGGTGGCCTGAAGGGAGGAGACCGTTGGGAAGACCTAGGCATAGGTGAGAGGATAATGTAAAAAAACCTTACGGAGATAGGAATCAATGGAGCAAACTGGGTGCAGCTGGCTCAGGGCAGAGTGTGGTGGTGGCATTTTGTGAACATGGTGATGAACCTTCGGCTTCCACAAAGAAAGTGGGCTATTGTTTGACAAGCCGAATATACAATTGACTTTTCAAAGAATTTCCTGCACCATAGAGTGAGTAAGTAAATGTCACTGTCATGCAACATATTTCCAGCACTTCCTGTTTCTGACATTTAGCACAGGAATCTTTTAACATCTTGGCAATTCTTGCAGAACCTATTCCATTAGGCTTGGTAGTAAGACAGCGGAAGTTTCGGTTACTAATCAAAAATATGTACAGTTTTAAGAAAATATGAATGACTACTGTTGAGCTGTAAGACTAGGGAAACCATGCATTGTCATGGTATAAGTTCTTAACAGAACACTACTGTTTTAATTATGTCTCAATAAATTGATCTGTGTAAATTCTCTCCTAACAGATATGATTGCAGAATTTCACAGCAACAACCATCAAGCAGAATATGAAAATAGGATTCTGGAATTAATGGCTCATATAGTAAGACAAGATGAGACACTGAAGGCCCAAGTGACGCAAGTTGATCATCTCACTGAGCAACTTTCAACACAAATTCAACAAACAGACAGTGCACAACAACAGACTGTAGAACTGCAACCCCAGTCAAGTGAAAATGCCAGTGTAGATCCAAGAGTAACGTTCACAGAACTCACCGCCAGAATCGACAAAGCTATTCATGCCAATAAATATTCACCAGATAGAGTAAACAGAAGGCAATCTGCACAAACATCAGTTAAAACACAGGCTAAATCTATTCATTCTATGTCTAAGACACCAGTTTCAGTAAGGAACATCCCATTGTCTAGAGATAATGTAATGGTCAGAAACATCACATCTGAGTCAAAACATTCTGCTGAGGGTCCTCAAGAGGACTCAAGCTCAGACTTGTCACATCAAACAATGACCACAAGGACTGGCACCACTTCAATGTATGGGCTCATTGACCAGGGCAAAGTCAGGAGTCCCCAGGGATCCAAAGATTCTGGTTTGGATTCACCCAAGAGGTTTCCCACAATTCCTATTAGGAAAATTAATGCTTTTCAGGGATTATCTTCAATTGAAACTACCCCCATCACAAGTGGCAGTGAAGATAGGGTAGACAATGTTGATGATGTGACACAAAGTGAAGATGAAGAAGAAGAGAAGGATGAGACAATATCAGATGAAGCAACAGCTGATGAAACAGAAACAGATACTGACACAGAACCTGCAGTCACATCTGTCCACAGGTAAGAAAACTTCAGTATTTGAACTTAAAATGCAATATAACTCAAACTCGGTTACTTAATTGTGAGGTGAATCCACAACTTTTGGATTACTAAACTGATATGCAACCCCAGCATCCCCATCATGGGAGGGGTACAATGTCAAGTAGAGGAGTGCCTACTGGGGTGATGTATAGTGAGGACTTAGTGCACCTCCAAGGTAGCTATGAAGGCCCAGGAGGAATCCTGAAAGTATGGCAGATGTAGATCTGGCGAAGCTGCAACAGGCCCAGAAAATTGGCAGTAGAATGAACAGGAAACTGCTTTCAACACATTACAAACCCTTGGGAAGAGGCTTTGTATGATGACCCACAACTAAGCGGACGCCTCGTAGAAAGAAGAAACTGATATGCTATGTGCTACAAAATTATTTTCTAACCAAAATTTATTCACCCTTTCAAATAACATCTGTAAGTGAGATATAGTACTGTAATCTTGTTTCATGAGACAGACCTTGAATAACTTGATAGGAATCATCAGGCAAACCATTAATTTTTTTCTTGAATTGTCTATGAGGCATGTTATGATCTGTACTGGCTAATACAAAGAGATTTCTCTAACTGAAAACTCAAAATTATTTACACTGGTTCTGGCCAAGTGCTGGGTCAGGGGTGAAGCCCCAACTGAGGACACAGATTATAATAAAATACTGGATACTTGAGCTTGTCACACACCTGTGGTGATGGTAGACAAATAGTGATTTATATGAAATGGTGACTGGCAAAAAAAACTGAAATACCTGGAAAATTAGTTACGAATAGTGGATGTAACTGACCCAGAACACTTTCAATTCACATACAGTGGTCAGAGGGTATGATGGTTCATACGTAAAGACTGAATATTTGGGAATAATGGTAACAAATCAAAATTGTATTCATGAAAAAACCTGAGAGTAGACTAAATTCAGGGAATGCTTGGTACCAAGCAGTTCAGAATATTTTGTCTTTCTATCTGGTATCTAAACATGTGAAGATTAAAACTATAATTTCAGTTGTTTTGCACTGGTGTGAAACTTGGTCTCTCATGTTAAGGGAAGAACACATTGAGGGTGTTTGAGAACAGGGTGCTCAGGAGAATATTTTGACCTGAGAGCAAAGTGACAGGAAGCTGGAGAAAACTGCATAATGAGGAGCCTGTATTGTTTATTTTGACAAAATATTATTAGGATGATCGAACCAAGGATGAGATAGGTGGGGCATGTAATGTGCATGGCAGAGATGACAAATGCATATAGAATTTTAGGTGAAGAGAATGGATGTCTAGGAAGACCTAGGGGGAGGATATTAAAATGGATCTTAGGGAAATTGGGTTGGAGGGTGTGGAATGGAATCATCTGGCCCAAGGTAAGGATGGTAGTGTTAATAAACCTTGGTTCCGTAAAATGCAAAATGACGGGTATTTGTTGACTACCTGAGCATCCTATTAACTTGTAAAGAAGGATTCTGCTCTATGGAGCTAGTTTACAGGATAATGATATGTGTAGTTTGGAGGATGAACTGCAGCAAAAGCCTCAAATGCTGACTGAGCTGAAGAAGAACCTGCAACGCCTCCATGACCGCAGACTGCGAGAGCTTGGGGTTGATCCAGAGTGGAAAGGTATACCTGCAGCCACTTTCTGCCAGAAAATGGCAACACTGAAGCATCACCAGACCATAGCAGAAAAGGTAATGAAAATGAATGAAAACCAATTCCTTCCAAACTTATCCAGTCTAAATTTTGTATCAAACTCACTATGTACATTTTCAAGGCCTAGGTTTATGTGGGTGGATAATACTAACATAGATGGTAGAGAAACAGGGTGATGAACAAATGCTAAACCCCGCATCTTAGAAATTCTAACCATGCTCATGTAATAGAGAATTTTTACACTGAAAGTTTCCAATAGCCAGTTTGAATGTGTAAACAACACCAGATGTTATTTTATGAATAATATTCAATGATTCATGTTATATTTGTACCATGTATTAAACTAGGTTTTTTTAATTTAGGGAGTACAAATCGTAAAACAGAAGCAGTATGCAGTTATGTAGTTTTACCATACTACCTTAAATATAAAATATTTTAAATTCAAATTAATAGGCATGGTTAAACAAATAAACAAGCTAGTCATATAGGTTAGTTCCAACCTTACAAATGCATGAGATTATCTTCAGTCAAATTTCAAGTTCTCATGGTAGCATGTATGAATATGACAGCCTTATGAGATATTGTTCTGTGTAGTCTAACAAAGTTTACTGACAATTCACAGGTGCTTACTGTCTCCATCATCAGGACAATGAGCAATCTCACTGTCTTGATGATGGTGGCATTAAGCTCCTCTGAAACACTGGTCAACTGCTATGAGACTACACAGCACAATATACCAGAAGGCTGTCATCTTTATGGTGCTCTTCATACTTTTCTCTTGCAGAAACATAAATCGTTCTTTAAAATTAGGGAGAGAATCGTTGATGAGCTAGAAAGACGTCTGTCAAATACCAAGACTGACAGTCAGCAAGGTAAATCTGACAATGGAGGGAAAGTTCTGCAAAGGGACAGTACTCAACAAAACAAGGTGGCAATGAAGAAGTTTGCTGCAGAAATGAAGACAAAGGCCCTCAAAGTGCTGAAACGTTCAACAGGCAAGACAGAATTGGCACTTTTGGGAAGGGATAAAGAGAGCAATGTAGCTTCCAAGAATTATGTGTGATTACATACATTTAACTCCTTGCACCATTTTCTTCAGATATTGAGATCTGAAATTCTACAAACCAAGAGTTAAGCTCTTTTTGCATAACAATAAAAATAAGTTAATAGATAATTTAAGACATTTAAGTGTGTATGTATTTGCAACTTAGGAAGAAGTAGTCCTATGACTTTTGCCTACATTAGTGAATATTCTCACATATCACTGACACCAAAATATCTTCAGGTTAAAATAAAACACTCTAGTCCTTTAACACAGACCACACTGCATGAAACAGGACACAATGACATGTTAGAATAATAATACTAACTAATAATGTAACTTCTTTCTTTCCTTTTTACAAAACAGGAAAGCTGTCTATCCATTCTGAAGAAGGCTCACAAAAGGCCAATAGTCAAGATACAGCTATGGTTTCTGTTCATCAGAAAGACCCATTTACTTCCAAGCAAAAGATGCAGAATATCAGTATCATGAAGAAACGTTTGGCACTGCACAGAAAGAATGCAGAGACAGGGAAGAGGTCAAATGTCATATCAGGAAACCCAGCTACAGTGAGCGAAGTTGACAATAGGTGTGTGATATGTTGGATGAGTTTTGCAATATGTGGGGGGGCAATGAAGTAAACAAGCAGACAATCAGTCCTCAAGTAATTGCAAATGTAAGCAGATTGTGAATCGTAAAACAAATATTAGAAGCTGTTGCCATTGATATAGTGTATTTTAAGGTTCTGAAGGTTACATAACTATGTTTAAATGTGTCCATAAATATCACTAAATAAACTTCATGCAGAGTTACAATCATTCACCAGTTATGATCACCAAAATATTTAGCATGACTGCCACGTTATTTTCCTACAAAGTTATTTACATAAAGGTGCATACTCTTGAAAGATCTGTCACCATACAAATGTCTCACAAGTTATATATAAGACTTGAAGTTTTCATGACGACTGAACTCAATAAAATCTTCTTGGACAACAAGCTATGTCAGTTGTGGCTTTATTCCACCGACAGAGCAGCTTGTTGCCTGAAAACATTTTATTGGGTCTCACAAGTTGATATGGCCATCTGTTGACTTTACTGGCTAGTGGGAGATAAAAAGTACCAAGATGGGGAAGGTACCCCTGTCCTCTTTTGGAATCCCAGTGAAGTGCATGATTAAAAATGAGGCACCAAGCCAGTCCATGTCAAGAGATTAGTGCACTTAGTTTCCTGTACAGAACTGTTTAACTGATATTAGTTTGTGCTATACATGAAATGACTACTGTTTTCTCAGATCTGTTGAAGAAAGTGCTGTACCAAATGTTACAATGGTGACTTCAACACCTTTCAAGAACACTAAGACACCCAGTACTTCCATTTCAGCAAGAAGCATTTTGAAAGGGTATGATAACTATGTAACTACTGTAATTAAAACAACTAAAATCATAATCAAATGTAGCCTTTCAATTCTTGGTCATAGTGTTGCATCTGTTATGAAATCATTTAAAAGTATAAACATACAAAATTAAAATTGGCCCATGTCACAGTATTCAGTATCTAGCAGCACAACACATCCCTGAAAGGCTCTTGTACCTTAACACCACATTAGCATCACATAGCGCACCATGTTTTAACAAACAGGCTCACATGACATAATTTTGGTAGCCATATAATGAAGAACATTCATCAATTATGAGACTATTATAGAGGGCAAAGTTAGTTATAAATTTTAATTTTAATTGCATGGTGTATTAAACAACTGCAAATAACCAGTGTAATTGTAAAGTTTATTATAAATATGATAAATCAACCAACCAGTACCTTCAATGATGTCCTGACCATCTAATAATCCTACACATGGACTCACTGTATTTGTCTTATTTGGATATCTTCCTTTTGTTGTTTTTCCTTAATTAAATGCACTGTCTGGTCTTACAAAATATGAATACTACTTTACTACTGTTCCACAGTTCTTTAGTATCGGAATCAGTCGGTGGAAAGAAAAATGTGAAAAGTCCATCCATCTCATCCATGGAAGAAGAAGAAGAAGAAGAAGATGATGATGTGAGTGAACACACCATCATTCATCAGACACTACAGCATACCCAAGATCCACATACACACTCAGAGAAAAAACCTTTTTCTTCCTTAGGTGTAAGTCAGGTAAATCAATATTAAGTTCTGGAAATGATGAGGGAAGATAATTCATTCAGAAATAAAATGTTGTAGCACTGAATGACATTTATGCATTATAAACAAGCATAGCTGCTCAATCCATAGCTCATTAACTTTCATCACTTTACTTAGCAGCAAGCTGTCAAGGCCACTGCCAGAATCTATGAGTAGATTTTTACTCATCAATTTGCAGTTTCTCACGCAGATAGCATATTCATGTGTCTTCATGAAATTCCTACACTTTGGCTTCTAGAAAATCTCATAGACTTTATAGTGTGGTATATGTAATGAAAACATTTACTTTTACAATTTACATTATGTCTACTAACATTATCTGTATGCTTGCCAGCAAATATTTTCAAATATACTGGCATTTTGCCTGGAAACAAATAAAATACTATGAGAATCTTTTCAGGTTATCACAAGGGATCTTTCATCTGATGAAGAGTCTCCAAGAGCAAACAAGAGTGTTCTCAAGTCACCACTGTCATCATCACTTGGCAGTATTACAAAAAAGAGAGTTCTGTTTGTAGACCAGGAAAATGAAATGGCTGACAACAGCAGGACAAAGAGACTGCCATGGTATGAGACTGAAGTAGTGGCCACCATAAGACTTATGGTAGAGGGAATACTGAAGTCCATCAGGATTCCATTATAAGCAGATTTTACTGTACAAACTTTCATTAAAACAAAACTTCAGTAAAACAAACCCTTAAACAGTATTCAGGATACCAAATGTTCATATACAAAAACAGAACAATATGTATGTACAGTAGAGTCCTAATTATCCAATATCCCATTTCATCCAAGGTGATGTATTGGGACGCACCTTTTTAATAACAGTCAACTCAGCATGTAGCAGAATGAGTAACACACTCCCCCCACCATGCACCTTCTACATCTGATGTACTGTTGCTTTAGTGTGCTTTTGTTACTGGCTGTTTGTTGATGCTGTACTGTATTTTCTTCATAATTCAATAATATGTATCATAAATTCAGATAATGTTTACCCTAATCTTGTTCATTATATATGACTCTACATTAAAATTTTGTCACATTAATAGGGTTCAGCTATGTACAAAGAGTTTTGCAACCTTTCTTTAAAAATATTATATTTCTGACATTATTTCTCTTGTGTATTCCCAGGACACCTGACAATATCAAGCATTATGGATATGCTGGCAGCTATGAACAAATTAACCTCAGCACAAAGCAGAGTGCTAAGATTGCTCAGATATCCAAGAACATTGAGGAACAGGTAATTCAGTGATATGCTACTTTCTGTACAGCTGTGTAAAGGCATGCATGTGCTTGTCAATTTAAAATTATAGGATAGGATTAGATGATACTCCCTGAATCAAGTCTAAATAAACTACTACGGTTACAAGCTTTCCTTTCAATAATATATGTAAAGACTCTTTGATGTGTCTGAGAACAAAGTGTGGAGGAGTATATTTGAACATATAAACAGGAGGATCGCGAAAATATATAATGAGGGCTTTAAAATCTAATATTATTAGGTAGACTAATCAAGTAAGATAACGTTTTGGACAGAAATCCTCACAGGAAAAGAAAATTTGGAAGACCTATTTGTAGGTAGAATATTATTAAAATAAACTTTACAAAACTGGGGTATGAACTGGATATATGCGGCTGAAGACATGGTTCAGTAGCACACTTTTGTAAACACAGTAGTTAACTTTTGGCCTCCATAAATGAGAATTTCTTGACTAGATAACGAACTATAAATTTGTCACGAGACCCCACAGAAAGAAACTTTTACAGACGTGTTGCACACAACTGTAACATCAAAAATACATTCATGAAAGTAACTTTCTAATTCGCCCAACTATATGCACACAGATGAGACTGTATGGCATAGTTTTAAGTACAAAGATTGCAGGAACTCATGCAAAACAATTTTCAATTCCAGCAACAAGCTTTCTGTTTCAGTTGAGAATGAGTAGGTCCAAACCACCAACAGGAAGTGTGGAGGCCATGTTTCGTTCCACTGGAAGTGAGAAGAGTTCACAGTATCAAGGCACAGATTTAAGTTCCCCAAGTCTTGACAGCTTTATGTCTGACACTAACCATGAGAACAATACAAATCTCAGCAACACCACATCAGCACCAGTCCCTAAACCTCGCTCCAACAAGCCTATCACAGCAACACAACAAACATCTAGCAAACTTCCTCTTTCTGATTGGGATCTGGAAGACTTTGATAATTACACATAGGAGTGTAAATAATATGAAGAACAAGCCCTCATTTGGAAAATGCCATTAATGTGACATCTGTCCATTTTCACTGCGTACACAATGTATTGTCAGAACAAATATGGGTGTTTGCACAACAAAAGTGTTGTAACATACACAAGTCAATTACCAACTGATAACTTTAACAAAACAAATAAAAAAAAATGAAGCCAAAATCTATGACACAAATAACTTGTTTTGCCAGGAACATTAACCTAATTATGAATTTTTTCATATTATCTACAGCACTCGCAGGTAAATGTTGCCAGTGTACCCTGTTTAGAAACAGTGTTATTTTGTGTAAACGTGTGATTTTAACAGAAACATAATGAGAGAATCATATGAAATTGATGATCCATGTCATATGAAAACAGGATTAAGAAAAAGATGACTGTTACTGCAAACATAAGACTTTATTCCCTTCTTCATAGTTTTGTTTAAACTCAGTATCAGGAATTTCAGCATTATGGACATGCTTTAACTTTACTGCAAGTAATAAACATATGGCTACAGTTGGGGCTGAAACATACTGAAAAAGGGAAGATATCTGAACACAGATTGCTCCACAAGTATGAGTCATGAGATGCACTGATTAAAACTGCATGCCATTTGAAGTACTGTAAAAATTAATAATCTAGTGGAACAGAAGTTTATAAAGTGCCAAATTTTATACTACAACTGACACTGACCTACAGGTGCATAAACATTGTACTGACACTTCTAAAGTGGAATAAATGCAGCAACAGTTCCATTTAGGGCAGTTTTCTTCACCCTCTCACTACCAGGCACAGTGCTACAGGCTATGCAGAATTTACCACGTTGTTCCTTAAAAAATGTAGAAAGTGTTGAAAATTATTGCATGGGGCTATGTCATATTTCATGTCTGAATTACATCACACAGACTGGATTCTGGGAGACCTCACTGGCAATGTCAGTGTTCATGAAAATAACTTTGTAGGGACAAATATCAGAATGAATTGCACTTACATATCATATGGTTACAGAGACTGTCATTCATTATGCTGATATTGCATTATCATTTACAATTCTAATAAATATCCAGGAAGGAAATGAGAAAAGGCAGTTCTTCAGTAACTACATAAATTTCTGTCCTCTCATACATATGAAAAAGGTACATTAAATGATGACAAGTTTGACAGCATCTGACACATTTTTGCTGCAGCACTGTATATCAAGATACATGCAAAACCTGATATCTCTGTATAAACAACATAATGAGCATGTGCATTATACTGGCCATTAGAAATAAATAATTCATTCCTCCATTATTTACATGGAGAAGTTCAGCACATGAGAACATTGCTTTGCCACACAAAATAATCTATGAAGAATTTAAGAGCTATAAATGTTAAGCAATACGAACATGAATTGATTCTTCTTTACTCATAATGTCAATCTGAAAAACAATGACTGTGATACACAATTCTGTAATGCACATTTTAATAAATGCAAAGATTTGTTCTTATTTTCATATGTTCATTTAATTAGATGAAAATGTAACACAGTGACATCCTATGCAATGTTTAAGGCTCCAATCCTTAAGCAAAAAATTTCCATTGCCATGTTCATGAAGACAATTAATTTGTCATCAGCACAATATGAAGTTTCTTCATGCAATGCAGAAAGAAAGGAACCCAAAGGCTGGAACAAAACTTGATAACCCTTTCACCTATTTCCTTACAACACTTTCCCATGAAACTAGGAAATATCTACTTTTGACTTGCTATTAACACAACACATTTGTCAAAGCTCTGTGTGTGAATATGTTGCACTGTGCGAAATCTTAAAAGAATGTACATGGTTAACTCAGTATTTATCACCACTGAAATTTTTCTTATTGCATATTCAGTGTGGATTTGTTCCATTAAAATATTCTATGACACAACAACAGCAAGGAGAGGTATACAACACCAGATTTAAAAAATCTCAAATTCTAAACAATGTTTTAAATCTCTTCATGGGCCCAAAGTTGAAATCATACTTACCTGGTTTCTCAAGATCAAATATTTGCAATGAAGCCATGCTGATTTCCATTTTGAACTTATTTTAGACTGTGTACTTTTCAAAGAAAAAAAATGCAGTTGAATCTAGTGTGACAGCCATTCACTAAAATTTATGAATATAGGAATTCATATGTACTGCCTAAACAGACATAACTTACATAACATACAATTATATTTGCCACAAACTTACAGAAGTTCCTCAGCTCTTCCCACTGCAGTTTTCAGCTTTACTGTCCCATAGGAGAGGTTGGAACAGGCTGCCCAAATTCACAACACTGTAGGCATTATTTCGTAGAGATCGCTCCGCCTGCTCTCGCAGCTTGTCATAAGCCTTTTCCAGCTCTAAGGTGCCTGGACCTGACAGCAGGACATAAATATCTTCTGATGGGGACCCATGACATAAATAAGTACAACAGGATTTTTAAAGGCCAAAGGATGAGATGCACCCTAACATAACATATGAATAATTTCTATCTAAAGGAATTACAGTGAAACTTCAATAGAAAGAGAACTTCATTACAGTGAATAAAACCAAATGATCAAATTACATCATCTAGAAAAGGAAATGGCTAGTGAAAGGACACTGGAAGGAAACCTCTTCAGAACAAAACCAATAGCATGATGACCCATTTTGATTAAAACCGAACAAATTGACACTTTATACAATGACATATCGCAATTCCTCATTCATATAAGCACAACTTGCTAAATATTTATCACAGTGGAAATTTTTCACACAAAAGTTG